GCACACAGCAGGGAGCTAGGGCTTCAGGCTTGAAACAGACTAGGTGTAAAGAGTAATCTTGCGGCTGGACATGTAGGTCAGTTGGTAGAGTGCTTGCCCAGCATGCGTGAAGCCGGGGGTTCTGTTCCCTGTTTTGCATATAACTAGGATGGTGGTGGCACATGCTTGTAATCTCAAGACTCAGGTGATGGAGACAGGAGGATTAGAAGTTCAAGGTCCTTTTTGGCTTCATAGAGGGCTTGAGGCCAGCCTGATATATGAGATCCTATCTCAGGAAGATTGATCTTGGAGTGATAGATGGGAAATGCTGACCACTCTGGGCACCCTGTTGAGTTCTGCCTGTCTGGATTCAAGGCATCATGGACCTGTCTCTTAGTGTGGTTGTGAGTGGACTGATGCTATCCAGAGTGTGATGAACAACCCTGCAGACAGCTGGCAGGGCTGCCCTGTGACATGGGCAAATGCTACTTTGCATTGCCACAGACTCCCATGCAGGAGATACATTACAGCAAGGGAATAGTATACAAGATACAGTACTTTCTGATGCTCACTTGACCAACCGTGTTGAGGGAGGGGGAGCAATTCTGGGTCCAGGGGCTGTCAACATCCCTCTGATACTGACTCCTCTTAATTCCTCTTTGCCTCCAGTAGATACCCACAGGTCACTGTGTTTTCACTTTTCTTGTCCTCAATCAGATCAAGACTTGCCTGTGGGCACTGGGCTAGAGTCAAACACTGTTAAATACAGTTAACGCACTATCAACGGTAACGATAGACCTTTATTATAAGCACACTTTTTTTTTTTTTTTTTTTTTTTTGGTTTTTCGAGACAGGGTTTCTCTGTGGCTTTGGAAGCTGTCCTGGAACTCACTTTGTAGACCAGGCTGGCCTCGAACTCACAGAGATCCGCCTGCCTCTGCCTCCCGAGTGCTGGGATTAAAGGCGTGCGCCACCAACGCCCGGCTTATAAGCACACTTTTATAATGCTTATTTTTCCTTTAAATAAGTTAAGATTTGATGGCTAATGTGATTTGACAGCATTAAAGCTTTTCCTGGTACCCTGGTTACCTTGAACATAGGATTATTAGCCAAGTAGTGGTCTCTGATTGGCCTCATGGCTCCCATGCTGGTTTGAACACTGCATGGATTCCTTGAGGAAACTAAACAGCAGCCGCAGCTGCTGGCTGCCCAAGCAGAGCTCCACCTCCAAAGGCATCAGCCATCTTGACTGCTTCATACTGCTTGTCCTCGACGTCTGCCGTCACAAGCTTGCTGAACTCTGGCAGTCATTTCACTCAGGACAGAAGGGATACCTCTGGGAGCTCAGCAGGAGACCTGTGACTGAGACTTGTTTGAAGGACCACACCATGATGGCGCAGTACCCTGGCACAGCACCTTCCTGGCTATTTAAGAAGGCAGTCAGTTCACTACTCTCGGCTGTGGGCCCCCACCCTCTTGTAGTATGCCCCGGGGCTGTGGCATTAGGTCAAATGAAAGGCTTCTCCTGAAGTGTCTTTGCTTCCCTACTTGTGATCATTATTATTACTAAAGTGGACTGAAAGAGGTGAGAGAGAACCAGAGGCTGTGGCAGCAGTGACAGCAGCAGCAGCTGCTGCTGCGGTGGTGACAAGGGGGGTGGCTGAAGAGTCCCTGGAATGAGAGTAGAGATGGCAGACAAAGGGGTCAGAGAGCCAGAGGTGAAGGAAGATAGAAGGGTTTTGAAGAACCATGGGTGAGAAACTGATGCCTCCAGTTGCTTGACGATGAGGAGCTACCAAGTCTTTTTCTTTTTAAAAAGATTTTATTTATTCTGTCTGCACACCAGAAGAGGGCACCAGATCTCATTATAGATGGTTGTGAGCCACCATGTGGGTGCTGGGAATTGAACTCAGGACCTCTGGAAGAGCAGCCAGTGCAATTTGCCTCTGAGCTATCTCTCCAGCCCTGAGCTCCAAGTCTTAAGGACTAGGGGTCCTAGACACATTTGGCCTGAGAACTGAGACACCAACTACTGTAGACACTAAGGCTCCCGATATTGAGGTTTTTTCAGGAGTATAGGAGACTGAGGGTTACAGTAGCTGCCTCATGGCTCCTGGTGATTAAAACCCAGAGCAGTGAGCCTCCAACCTCAGGACCTGGAGACATAAGCCATGTCTACTAAAGCCCAGAGCAACAGCTTGAGCTGTGAGGCTGTTATTCCAGCCCAGGGGCATGGGGGGGGGTTGGGGGAGACCCTCAGCACTGGAAGAGCTTTCATCACCTACTCCCAGTTTTTACCCAGAGAGCAGAAGGGCCACAGACAGCAGAGTGAACTTGCCCACCTGCTGCACTTCCCTTGGAGTGACTGCTCCTGTCACCGCAGAACCCTGCAGAACCCCATCTAAGCTCTTCCCTAGAGGACAACACAGCAGAGGCTGTGTTGGAGGAGGAGCTTCAAACCCTACCTTCTGGTTTGACTCATGTCCCAAGACATCATAAAAAATAGCTCAGGAACTTGTATTTGGGTCAGTCTGACCATCTCAGTTTTTGCCTTGAGAACTGACTTTTCCAAGGTTCTCTCATCTAATACAAAGAAGCCTGGAACTTTCCACTGTCTGCTTACTCAGGATAGATTCCATTTCCATTGGGAGGGACAGGACAGAACAGGGCACAGGTCTTAGAACTGAACTTCCAGAGATGCTTTTAACTTAAACGACAGGGTTGGTTTACTGTATTCATGTGACTTACTCCATGGGACTATAAACCACGAATCCCTGGAAAGCAGCTTACAGCCCTCTGCTTTTGGTGTGTGTGCTTGTGTGTGTGTGTGTGTGTGTGTGTGTGTGTGTGTGTGTTGTGTGCATGCATGTGTGTGTGTGGTGGTGTGGTGAGTGTGTGTGTATGGTGTGTATGTGTGTGTATGTTGCTGGATCTCATGCTCCCTGCCTAGCTCCTAAAGTCATCTTGATGTAGGATACCTGAGTAAAATAAACAATGCTGTCTATGGTGTGAGCTGTTTGAGAGGTAGGAATGTGAAGGCAATAAGAGTTCTGCCCAGGATTGGAGCATGCGTATCAGGAAGAGCTACCCTAAAGTGATAAAGGATGGGCAGAAGAGTCTACCTGCTAAAAGGTAGTTCTGCCTGTCCTGAAAGGGCCTGGTGATGCAGACGATACTGCTCACCATGGTTCCTGGAGACTTGTGGGCCAGCACAGGCTAGGAGTCATTAACTGCGGAGTTTAAAAGAGAACAGGAGCCCCACTCCCACTAAGAATGGTGATTCTCAGTCTTCCCATTACAGGGTCAAAGAAGGGACTGAACTCCCCTGCCCAACCCTGCTTGGTGGCAGAGGAGGGGCAATGTGTTTTTTTGTGCGTGTGTGCTCTGGGAGCCCATTTTTGTCTTTACTGGTACTCTGAAGTGCTTGAGCCCACAGTTGCTCATGGACACAACTCTAGGTATCAGTAGCCTGGAGAATTTCTCCAAAATTCTAAAGGTCTAGTGCAGGCTGAGAAGGCTTGCTGGGAAGGACTGAGAAGCAGGTGGTGCCAGCAGAGAGTGCAGAACCAAGTCCTACTGGGCCGTGTGTAGGGACTGGTGTCAATGTGGTAGGGATTAGTGTTAGCTTGCGAGGGACTAGTGTCAGCATGGTATTCTTGGCAGTTTTGGCCGATTTGTGTACTCTGTGCAGTGGAAAAACCTTTCAGCTTTCATAACGCTCAAACTGACCTACTGTCCAAAAAGAAAGAAAGACAAAGAAATTGGGGTGAGGGAGTAGATGGGGCTCTCTGTGGAGGTGATGAGTCTGTGTCTATTAGAATGAAAAAGGAAGTGATCATTCAGGACAAAAGCCTTGCTACTATCATCTAGTAACTCAGGAAGCCTAGATTTAATTAATGGCTTTTTTGTTTTGTTTTTGTCAGTTAGGCTGTGATCTACTACAGTTTATGTTTCTTCTGTTTGGGATTTTTTTGATTTCCTTAGATTTTAAAATCAGTATCTTTTATCAAATATAGAGATTTGTTGGCCATTTGTTCTTTGATTATTCCTGGCAAGAATCATCATATGTACAATACCCATGCCCAGCAGGTGCCTACCATAGGGCACTGACATTTGTTAAATGAAGAAATAAATGGTGGAGAAAGACCATATGCTCCATGCTTTGGCCAAGGTAGATAAGGAGGAACCTACTGCCCCAATCTAGCCTCACCACCAGCTGTAGAACATTAGGAGATCCAGTACTGTACAGCTTGGATGTAGTGAGCTTGCTGCAGAAAAGACCCAAATGTGTATCCAGCCTGACCTGAGCGCACCCTTGGAGCCAGTTCCTTACCTGCAAACTCTGGTGGTCAGCGGCTGTAAACCAGGGATTAGGGGAGAGCCGGTCCATGGCAGACTCTTGAGGGCCCTAGAGTTGTGAGACAAGCTACTCCCACCCGCTTCTCTTTTCTTCCTCATACTGGACTCCTGAGTTGCTTTCTTTTCTCTCTCTATTTTGTGTGTGTGTGCACAGGAAGAATGGGATGTCCTGCTGTTACTCGCCATCTACTCCTTTTGTGACAGGATCTCTCCCCGAGCCTCGGGTTTAAGTTTTCTTGGCTAGGCTAACCGCCAGCAGGCTTCAGTGACCTTGTTGCTGTCCACTTAGAGCTGAGGTTACCAGTGTGCACAGGATCCTGGTTTGTTATGTGAGTGCTGGGATCCAAACTCTGGTCCTTTGGATTGCACAGCAATGGCTCTGAACCTCTGAACCATCCCCTCAGCCCTGAGCTGCTTTTTTTTTTTTTGAGGCAGGGTTCTTTGTGCATTTTTGGAGCCTGTCCTAGAGCTGCCTGCCTCCCGAGTGCTGGGACGAAGGTGTGTGCCTGCACTGCCTGGCCCGAGTTCCTTTCTAAGACTTGCAGAGGACTGTTGCTGTGAGCCGCCGTTAGGCCAGTGGACTCACTGTTCTGGGCATGGGTCTGTGGGGCTGCCCTTCCTGCCCCTGTGACATGTGTCACTGGGTTGACTCCTTTCTTCAGCTACAGATTTGGGACACAGCTGGCCAGGAGAGGTTCCGAACCATCACACAGAGCTACTACCGCAGTGCCAATGGGGCCATCCTGGCCTATGACATCACCAAGAGGAGCACCTTCTTGTCAGTGCCTCACTGGATTGAGGATGTGAGGAAGTATGCGGGCTCCAACATTGTGCAGCTGCTGATTGGTGAGCTAGGGATGGTGGCTGGAGGGGCCTGGGAACGGGTCTTACCTTTGCCTTTTTTCTTTTCCAGTACAAGGCAAGCCTGCCTTGGGAGGGGCTGAGCTTGGCCAGGAAAGGAGCCAGAGTTGAACCAGGAACTTGCAGTCAGTTTAAAAGTTGGACTCAAAATTGAGATTAGAAGGCAAGAGGGTGCTGGAGTTTGCTTTGCAGTTCCTGTGTGTTCTGGGCCAGTCGCTCAGGCTCTAAGGCATGGTGTTTCTGCAGACAGCACTGCTTCTCCTGCTCAGAGGAAGCAATGCGGCTGGTTTGCTGCTCATTGCTTGAGCATGGAGCTAGCATGCACGAGGCTATAGGTTTCACCGCCAGCACTGCAGAGGAAAAAGGTAATAAAAAGAAAACAAGATGAGAGGCCGTGGAGTAAGAACTTCTCCTTTGCGTTTTAAAATTACATTGACTAGTGTGCATGCTCACATGTGTACATAGCAGTGCATGTGTAGGGATCAGATGACAAACTTGCTAGAGTCAATTCTCTCCTTTTACCAGTGGGTTCTGGGAACTGAATTCAGGTTACTAGACTTGGCAACAAGTGTCTTTACCCACTGAGCTCTCTTGCTGGCCTAGACAATTTAAAAAATCTGTCTTCCTGCCTGCCTGCCTGCCTGCTGTCCATCCGTTCGTCCGTCCATCCATCCATCCATCCATCCATCTGGTGTATGTATATGGGTATACATATGCCAGAGAACATGTGCATAGGCCAAAGGATACCTTCCAGAGTCTGTTTTCTCCTTTTGCCATGTAGGTACTGGAGATTGAACTCAGGTTACCTAGTTTAACAGTAAGCACCTCCACCCACTGAGCCATCTTGCCAGCTGAGAACAAGAGTTTTAAAATACTAATCCCAGCACTTGGGAGGCAGAGGGAAGTGGACCTCTGAGTTTGAGGCTAGCCTGATCTACAGAGATAGTTCCAGGACAGCTAGGGTTACACAGAGAAACTGGGTCTTGAAAAAGAACAAAACAAACATGAAAAAGAGCTTTAAAATAAAAAAGGCAGCCTGACTTGGTGGCTATACTTGTCCTAGCTCTCAAGAGGCTGAGGGGCAGGAGAATTGCTTTAGCTAACAGTTTCAAGTCTGGTCTGGGCAACTTAGTGAGAACTCTTTATTTTTTTATTCTTTGGATTTTTGAGACAAGGTTTCTTGGTATAACCCAGGATGTTCTGGAACTCACTCAGTAGACCACTGATCTTGAACTCAGAGATCGCATGTTTCTTGTGGCACTGCTGCCCGGCTAGAACTGTTTTTTAAAAATTGTTAAAATATGCTGGGTGTGATGGTGCGTGCCTCTATTCCTAGCATTCAGGAGGCAGAAGCAAACAGATCTCTGAGTTCAGAGCCAGGCTGGTCTACGTACTGAATTCTAGTCCAGCCATGGCTACTCAGTAAGAAAACAAAGATAGGGGATGGAGAGATGGCTCAGTGGCTTTGAGCACTTCCCAGTGACCTGAGTTTTCCCAACACCTTCATTTTGGCTCACAGCTATCTGTAATTTCAGGGGATATGGTATGTTCTGGTCTTTGTGGCTGCCAGGCACACGCATGGTTCACAGACAAACATGCAGGCAAAACACCCACACACATAACATTTTTAAAAGGTTAAAACAAACAACAACAACAACAACAAAAAAGGTTAAAACAAAAAGGACTATTTTAAGCTAGGAGGCAGTGATACATACCTTTAATCACAGCACTCAGGAGGCAGAGGCAGGCAGATCCCTGTGAGTTCAAGGCCAGCCTGGCTTACAGAACCAGTTCCAGGACAGCCAGAGTTACACAGAGAAACCTTATCTTGAAAAACAAGACAAAACAAAACAAAAAACCACCACAACCAACAAAGGACTATTTTAAGACCGGCCAGTTACCACACCCAGCAGTGTACCTGGAGCTGGTGGAGGGGACATGCTCTGGGACTCTTGGTGTGGCTCTGCTGGCTAGAACTGTGCTGGTCTGGTACCTTGGGCCTTACCATGCTCTACCTGGCCTTTCTTGACAGGGAACAAGTCAGACCTTGCCGATTTCCGGGAGGTCCCTCTGACTGAGGCGCAGAGCCTGGCCGAGCACTATGACATCCTGTGTGCCATCGAGACCTCTGCCAAGGACTCCAGCAATGTGGAGGAGGCCTTCACCAGAGTGGCCACTGAACTCATCATGAGGCATGGAGGCCCCCTGTTCAGTGAGAAGAGCACCGACCGCATCCAGCTGGACAGCAAGGACGTTACGGAGAGCTGGGGCTGTGGGTGCTGACTGGGGAGGCAGGGCAGGCATGCCAAGACCTCCCCACCTCCTTTGTCTGCAGCCTGTGAAGCCCCACCATTCAGAGCCAGCCCTCCAGGGCACTGGCTTCTCTAGAGGGATTCTGCACCCCTGGCCTGGATGCTGGGTAGAAAGGGAGAAGCAGGGTGTCCTGAGCAGAAGGCCATTGGCTAGGGCAGGTTGTGGATCATCCTTGCCAGCCAGCATCCACTCCCTCCATGTTCTTCACATTCCAGGACTAGCCTGAGCCTTCCAGCATAGACTACAGTGGGGAATGGGCTGGCCCTGCTGCCCAGCCCCCGTGTGCTGGTCTTACCGTCTCCTGCCGACTGCTGCTCTCCAGGGATGTGGCTGGTACCCCAGGTTCCTCCAGGTCATTCTCTGGCCTCTAACCAGAGTGTAAAAAGCACATCAATTAGGCCAGCGGACTGGTGCCGAGCCTTGTCCCAGGGAAGCCGGAGCTCACCAGGAGGAAGCAGCGTCTTCCCCTCACTGCCAGCTTGGAGCTCTTCTACGGCTCCCTGGACCTGGCTCGCTCGCTGCCTTACCAAGACCTCTTGGGTTTTTCTGCTTTTTCATGTAGCATCTCATTTTCACTGACACAAGTATAGGGTCACGGCCAGGGGTCCGCTGGGGGCTGTGCTGGCTTGCGGCCCAACATTTTGCCATTCAGGTTGCCGAAGCAGCTAATCTTTCAGTGTGGTGGAGGACTGAGATGGGAAAGGGGACGGTTAAGGAGAAGGATGCAGCTTGTGTGTGTGTGGGGCAGGAGAGTGGGGTGGAGCACACACTGAGCTCACGCCAGGCCCTGGGTTCAGTCCTCAGCACCACAAATGACAACAAAACAGCAACTTCTGCTGTGTCCCAGAGGTGGAGGCTGAGGGCCCTGTAGATGCCAGCCTTTCCTCGTGTGGAGGACACTGCCCCCCCCCCCCCAGTTCAGAGCTAGTTCCCCATGGTCCCGGCCTACCTTACAGTTTCAAAGCAAATCACACAAGTACTTGGTGGCCTGAGACCTGGCCATCCTGTACTCACTGGTCCCTTGCCTGCCTTAACTCAGCTTTCTGCTGAGTCGGAAGGAAAAGTGGGTTCAAGGAGGCAGGTCTGTGCTTTGGTGGGCTCAGGGATCAAAGCAACTAGATGCAGGGATTGAGCCAGGGCATGTTCCTAAGATAGTTTTGCCCTTTCCATGCCCTCCTACCACCTCACACACCCACACAGCAAACTGCTTTTAGACCACAAGGAAGACCACAGCAGCCATGGGGCCTCAGCCATTGGGTCAGGCTCAGTCCAGTCTAATCATGGATCAGGGTTTGTTCCTGCATCTTCCTTCCTGCTGGAACCCTACCCTTGCTTCCCATCTCAAAGATTCTGGTCTGTCAGCAGGGCTTTGCAACAACTCCGTAGCTTAGGCAGACAGAGCTGTGGTGAACTAAATAAACAGGGCTAGACCCACTGACCCCCTTAAGGTAGGCAGCAGCCTGTGGATTAGCTGAGCCTGGTTCTGGTGGGGCGGAAGGTTTCCTGGGTGAACCAGAGCCTGCTCTCAGTGTTGTTCTGGTGTGGATCACTGTGACTGTTCTGGGCAGGAGCTGCAGGTAGCTCAGCATCAGGAAGGTGGGAAAGCCCTGCCATGAGGTCTGCTTGACTGGGTAGAACTGAATAAGCCCTATTTGGTCCAGGAAGCCTTCTTCACTGGTAACTTCATGGCTCACCCAGCAACCAGAAAGATTATTTCTTTTTCCATTCACAGGAAGATCACCTCACTTCCCTTTCACAATCCTGAGGTGCTGAGGCCCTGCCTGTGCCCTTGAGCAGGAGCAGCCCTGCTCTCAGAGTTTAGTCCAGACACCAAAGTCTCCTTGAGCCCTGCACTACCCCCTGCCCTGGTAGCCACTCTGTTCTCACTCTCTGGGTTCCAGGTCCGCTGCCAGGTGCAGGAATGGAAGGCCAGGCCCAGGGCCCTTACCCAGTGTGAATGACCACAGCCTCCACAGCCTTCCCACCTCTCTACTCTGTGTCTGGGGCCTATGTGACCCTCCTCTCCCAAATCTCTCTGCCAACCTGCCTTCTTATCAACAGCACAGAATCCCACAAGTGACCCAGAGGACATCTCTGAGGGGAGATGGCCCCTTCCCAGCCACAGGCCTTATCTTTGGTATCCTAGCAAGGACAAGTTCTTCCCTTGACCCCTGATTCTGTGGCCTGGGAGGGCACGGAGTCCTGAACTGAAGCTGGCTCCTACAGAGAAGCTGCTACCATCCCTTCAGACAGTAGTGCCAAGCTCTGGTCCTCTGCTGAGGTGCGCTCCACTGCAGTGCAGGGCCTTTGTCAGAAGGAACGCTGGGCTTGAGGACCAGAAAACAGGCGAGTGTGTAAGTCAGGAAATAAAACCAGCTGCTTTCTTTTCCCTGGGCAGGCTTGGCTGGCTGCCAGTAGCCCAGGGCCTCTGGGGCAACAGGAGTTTAATCTCTTCCCTTGTTTAAAAGTTACTAAACAGCAGGAACAGGTGGAGGCTGGATGCTGGGGAGGGCAAGGAAGTAGCCACAGAAAGGCTGGGCGGGGCCAGGGTGGCCGCGGCAGGAGAGTGAAAAGGGCTAAGGTCTTGCCCACTAAGGTACCAAGAAGGGACTCATGTCCCTTTGGGTGGAAGTCTGTTCCCAAGGACACAGGCTCCAACTGGGGGGGTGGGGATCTACAGGGAGCCTCTGGTTCACATTGAACTGGTTGCCCTGTCCCAGGATACTGCCAGTGGTGGGCCACTAGCCAAACTTACCCCTGCAGGGCCTGGACAGGCAGAATTGCCAGCTCAAGGATTCCATGTGCATTGGGAAAATTTTCACATTGCCTATTTATGAACATGTAAGTCTTTCTATCAAATCTATTTTTGAAAAATGAAAAGTTGCCTTTCTGGATATGTCACAGAGCCAGTGTACATACAATTCAACCATTAAACATTTCTGTACTGAGTCTGTGCTCAACCTTGGTCCTGTCACCCCTGGGCCCAAAGCCTGCCTGGATGACTGTGTGGAGTCCCTAGTCTGGTCTCCAGGATGGGTGGGTAGGCGGGTACACCTCCTCGCTGTCCTGCCTGGTCTGGAGAAAGAAGCCTGAGTCAGGCCCTGGGCCCTCTGAGCTAGAAGCAGTCAGAGATTAGGCCAGCCCATGGTAGAGAGAGTTGTGGGGAGGGGAGGGGAATCACACCCTGCTTTTTACTGAACATGAAGGACCTCATTCTTTTTTTTTGTTTGTTTGTTTGGATTTACTTGTTTGTTTATTTATTGAGACAGGGTACCCTGTGTAGTTCAGGCTGGCCTCAAACTCAGAGACTCATCTGCTCTGCCTCCTGAGTGCTGGGGTGTTGGGATTAAAGGTGTGTGCCACTGCTGCCTGGTCTAGAGTTAACTTTGTGTGTGTGTGTGTTGTTTTCTGAGATAAGGTTTCTCTGTAGCTTTGGAGTCATGTGTCCTGAAATTTACTCTGTAGACCAGGCTGGCCTGGAACTCACAGAGATCCGCCTGCCTCTGCCTCCCAAGTGCTGGGATTAAAGGTGTGCGCTACCAACACCCCAGCCAGAATTGACATTCTTGCTAGAGTCCAGAAAACAGGAAGAAGCAAAGCTGTGTTCTAAGAGTCCAGATTGCTTGCTACTCTGTTCCCAGCCCAAGAGCAGTTCCAAAAGGTGACAGGTGGCTGGGTGATGAGTGTCAGAATCCGGGTGCCTGACCCACTGGTCCATGAGCTGGTAGCTCACCGAATGATGTGAGCCTATTTCTAGTCACGCATGGGGATTCTCTGCTGATGAAGCTTTCAGACACTTGGTGCAGTCCTGGACTTTGGAGCAAGGAAACAGGTCGGAGGCCACAAGGACTTTTTCTAAGTCCTGAGTTCTCTCCTGAGGCTGACTTGCGCTAGATCTGGGCGGAGTTCTGGGCCTGAGTGTGCAGCTGCCTTCTCCAAGGGTCACCGAAGCTCCACACTAGATCTGTGTTTGCACTCCTGCTAGCACTTCCCTGGAGGTCGTCTGAGGGCAAGGTAGACTGGCTAGACCTCACCTTCCCTGCTCAGAACCTTTCATGACCTCAGGCAGAGAGGAAGCAGACACAGCTGCTGACTCTGCTCACCTCTGACATGGCTCTACCATTCTCTGTGATGTTGCTCCCACGCACCTTCCCCAGCTGTTGAATAGCCCACATGCTTGCTATAGAATGGGCTTCTCTAAGACAGGAGTCCCTGTTCCCTAAGCCTGGGCTGAGTCCATGTACCCGAGGGATAACCACTTCTTCTGATACTGGTCTCCCGGATGCTCCACTATCCTCAGGGTAGGAGGCCTGGGCCTCACTGCCCAGGGCTGTAATCTCAGGAGGTTCCTAATAGGTAGCTAAGACTCAGCTCGTCACTGGGTATCACCATGTGCATCCACATAGGCCAGCTGACAGCTGTCCTCGGCTGACATGGGGGCTGGTGGGACACTCTGCCCTACCTCCATCCCTGATGGCTCGCTGCCCCACGCTGTCTGGTGCTTGGAGAACTTCCTGTATATGGTGCCTGCCCTTCTGTGACTGCTCTCACACAAAGGGCTCTCTTCTATAGTAGATCCAAAGAAACCTGTCTCTCTGAGATAGGATCTCACTATGCAGCTCTCCTGGAACTCACTATGTAGGCCAGGCTGGCCCTCAACTCAGAGATCTTTGTGACTCTGCCTAAGTGCAGGCATTAAAGGTGTGCACTACTATGCCCAACAGAAGTTTGTTTCTTATGATAATAAGTATGTTTGCCTGACTCTGGCCCTCCAGCCTGCGGAATTCTGGGATCCTTTTACCAGGGAAGCCTGAGAGAAGGTGATTGGTATCTAAGAGTGGGGGTGGGGCTAGTGTGCTCCAGCCTTGCTGTTCCTCATGTGGCCTGAGGCTTGTAGTGACTGTTAGCCAGGGACTTGTTCAAAACGTGGAGTCTGTCTCTGTCTCCACCTCAGAGTATTTCCTGATTTTTAAATTTTCTTTGTTTTTATTTTATTATTCTTTAAAGATTTATTTATTTTATTTTTATGTTGTGAGCTTCCTTGTGGTGCTGGGAATTGAATCCAGTTCCACTACAAGAACAATCAGTGCTTGTAAGGGCTGAACTATCACTCCAGTCCCCCCTTTTATTTTATTTTTTTGTTTGTGTGCTTTGTCTGCATGCATGCCTATCTATCACCATGTTCCTGCAGTGTCTGTGGAGGCCGAAAGGGCATAAGATCTCCTGGGACTGGTGTCACAGATAGTTGTGAGTTACCATGTGGGTGCTGAGAATTGAACTTGGGTCCTCTGGAAGGACAGCCAGAGCGCACTTTCTCTCTCTCTCTCTCTCTCTCTCTCTCTCTCTCTCTCTCTCTCTCTCTCTTCTTTTTTTTCTGAGACAGGTTTATCTGTGTATCCTTAACTGTCCTGGAATTCATTCTGTAGACCAGGCTGGCCTCAAACTCACAGAGATCCACCTCTGCCTCCCCAGTGCTGGGATTAAAGGTGGGCGCCACCAACGCCCGGCCCTCTCTCTCTCTCTCTCTCTCTCTCTCTCTCTCTCTCTCTCTCTCTCTCTCTCTCTCTCTCTCTCTCATATTCTTTTCATACAGTATATCTGGATTATAGAACCCTCCCGACCTCCTTTCAGATCCTTCCCACTTCCCCACCCACCCAAACCCATACTCTTTCTTTCTGTCTTAGTAGAATACTAACAGGAATCATCATCATCATCATCACAGTAATAGCTAGAACAGACAAAACAAACAGAAAAAGAGTCAAAGAAAAAACACAAGAAACACATACATATGCTGAGAGACATAAGTTTGCACACAAAGAAAGCTCATAAAAATAAAATAGGAAACTATAATATATAAGCAAAAAAAACCCTGTAAGATGTACCCCCCAAAAAAGATGCCCAGACAAAGCATTATGAAACAGAACCCCTCCCCCCACCTGCTGCTGGGCCTGGTACCTGAACTTAAATGTGGTTTGTGTGCCCATTGAGACTGTTGGGGAAAAAACCCCAAAACTAGTTTTTCCTTTGCCAGGGGTTACTAGCTTCTGGATTAGGGAAGGGAACATTTAGTTTTCCTCTGGGCCCGTGGCTAACCTAGTCTCAGGTCACTGGCCACACAGGCAGTGTTGAGGGTGGTTGCATCCCTAGAGTGGTTTTAATTCCAGTCAGATTGGCTGGCTGCTGCTGCAGGCCTTGTACCACCGTTGCCCTGGCGTATCTTGCAGACAGGAAGCCATTGAAGATCAAAGTGTTTGCAGCTGGGCTGATGTTTGTATCTCTCCTCAGATAGTGTGCAGAGTACCTTCCAGTCCCATGAACACTAGTCAGTATGGGTGAAGGCTGGGTTTCCCTGTGCTCAGTGAGGTACATAGATGTCTTCAGCAGTAGGGCCTTAACCATCAGTTTGTGGAGAGCAACCAATAGCCTTGGCACTAGCCTGGGTTGGTTGGGGATTTCATGAGGCCCCTTTGGCCCACAACTGGACTAGATGTAGCCTATTCCCAGCACTGGAGGTTTCAGTCGATAGAGATGTCTAGTGGGGGCTTTGGATCCCTCATTATTTGGTGATTTCAATTTAGTTTTCTTTCATATACATATGAACCTACTATGTTAGGTTTCCGTGAATTTTAGCTGTCCCTCCCACACGTCCTTCCTTACCCCTCTCTTCCCTTCATTTCCCCCTTTGATCCTACTGCTCCAGCACTTCCTCCCCAAATCCATTGATAACTGTTCTATTTTCCCTTTCCAGGGAGATGTTTTACTCCTCCCTAGTCCCCCAGTGCTCTTAACCACTGAGCCATCTGTCTAGCCACTCAGATTTGTTTGTTTGTTTTGAGGCATAGGCCTGGCTGTCCTGGAACTCACTATGTAGACTGGACTATCCTTGAACTCACATAGATCCACTTGCCTCTGCCCTGTCTCTGCTGGAACTAAAGGCATGTGCCACTGTGCCCACTTCCCTTTGTCTCCATGTGAAGACATTGTAAAAAGGCCCTCACTACATCCTAGTGCAGTACCTTGATCTTGGATTTGCTAGCCTTGTGAGCTGTGAGAAGTCAGTTAAATTATCTAGCATTGTTAGTATTCAGGTATCTGTATTGGCCTGTCCTTGGGGTTCTCACAGGGTACGCCCTCAGCTGCAGCCACTAAGAGTACTGCCTGTGCATATTCTCTATGTTCCCTTTTAAAAGGGCCCCTGCCCACCTCCCATCCTTCTCTGTCTGTCTGTCTGTCTGTCTGTCTGTCTGTCTGTCTCTTCATCTATCTGCCCCTCCCCCTATTTCTCTCTCCTGCTTCTCCTGTCGCCAGAGGCTGGTCTTCCCCATCTTTCCCCTTTTTATGATCCCTTTCCCTAGTTTCAAAAAAAAACCCTCTGCTTGAACCCTGTTGCATGGCATCTTTCTCTCTTGCCCCGCTTTTCTTAAATTGCAACAAGCATCCCACCTTTCCAAGGTTGTGATGCTGGATAATCTGAGATAAACCTGAAATGATCGAGAAGAAGAAAAGGAAAGGGAGATGGCTTTGTCAGTAAAATGCTTGCCATGCAAACATGAGGACCTGAGTCTGAATCCCCCGCAACCACATCAAATGGCAAGCATCGGGGTGTGTGCTTGCAACCCCAGCACCAGAGAGGCAGAGACAGGAAGATCTCTGGGACTTGATGCCAAGTGATCTAGATGAGTGGGTGAGCTCCAGGCTCAGTGAGAGATTCTGATAAAAGAAAAAATAAGGTAGAGAGTAGATGAGAGGAAGACACCAGACATCACCTTCTGGCCTTCGTATACTTGTGGCCGCTCTTGTACGCGCGCGCGTGCGCACACACACACACACACACACACACACGCACGCACGCGCACACGCACGCACGCACGCACGCGCACACACCACCACACAAAAGAAAAAGTGTTTGGTCCTGTGGAAGGAGCCTGGGTGGGTACTGCCTCCTCCGCAGGCACACCCTCAATGCTTAACTTCCTTCATCAGAGCCCTCTCCCTGAAGGTTCTACAGCCTCTCCATAGTGCCATGGACTGGAGCCCAAGCCTTCAATTCATGGGACTTTGGGAGATGTTCAAGATCCTATTTCACCTGATTTGTGGTGAAATTGCAGCTTTGTCTCTGAGACCCTTGGGAATCACATCCTGACTCCCACCGCATGAGACTTGGGGCAGCTGGCAGAGCCAGCTTAGCTAGCAGGGTGAAGGCCCATATGTGCACACCAGAGTGCCAAGAGGGATCAGTAGCAGAATTTTGGTGTAGGAGGATCGAGGATGTTTCCCATGTTGGGACTAGGGGCCTAAGGCCCTGGGACCTGCATATGCTCACAAGATTTCCCTTTCTGTCTTTGAGAGAGGATCTCAATATGCAGCCCTGACTGCCTGGTACTGACAGGGATCCTCCTGCCTCTGCCTTCTGAATGCTGGGATTAAAGGTATTCACTACCATGTCAGGCTTCAGAAGATTTTGATTGATCACTTCTGGTTTGTGAAAGGGTCATAGTGGCCTGTCTGTCCAGTGGCTCGGGGCTCATATCCCCCTCTGTGCTAGGGAAGACTGCTTGTTAAAGAGATACCTGGGATACCTCATGTGAGGTATTTCACACAGAGCTCATTGTTGTTACTCGGTGTTCATGTAACTCTGATTTTTAACACAGGAGCCACAAGCTGTCAGCCCCTACTGGTCTCATTCATCCTACTGTTGGTCCTTTCCTCCCTCTCTCTCTCCCTCCCTCCCTCCCTTCCTCCCTCCCTTCTTCCCTTCCTCTCTCACTACCCCCTCTTGTTCCTTTTTTTCTTTTTTGAGACAGGGTTTCTCTGTATAGCACTGACTGTCCTGGAACACCCTCTGTAGACCAGGAATGCACCACCACTGGCTGCCCGCCCCCTTTGGTTTTTTGAGGCAGGGTTTCTCTGCAGCATTGGAGGCTGTCCTGGAACTAGCTCTTGTAGACCAGGCTAGTCTTGAACTCACAGAGATCCACCTGCCTCTGCCTCCCAAATGCTGGGATTAAAGGCGTGAGCCACCACTGCCTGGCTTTTCTTTTCTTTTCTTTTTTTTTTTTAAGACAAGGTCTCACACTGTGCTCTGGACTAGTCTGGAACTCCCTCTGTAGACCAGGCTGACCTCGAACTCACAGAGACTAAAGGCATGCAGCACCACTGTCCGTCGCTCTCTCTCTCTCTCTCTCTCTCTCTCTCTCTCTCTCTCTCTCTCTCTTTAAAGAAAAGGTCTCACACTATGCTCTGGGCTAGACTGGAACTCACTGTGTAGCCCAGGCTGGCCTTGAACGTTCAGTGATCCTCTTGCTTCAGTTTCCATAGTGCTGGGATTACAGGTATGGCCACCATGCCCTGCTCTTTTAAAAGTCTGACTTGACTGCCAACACAAAGAACATATGGACAGCTACCTCCAGAGCTCAGGGTTCGGGGGGACTTTCTACTCAGTGATATTGCCCCTGTGGGTGAAGCCCAGGGTGTCTAATTGCCCACCACTCCCCATTGTCTTCCCTCCTTCTGGCTCCCTCTCTTTACTGAGTCCTGTAGTCCACTCCTTACTGAGTCCTGTGGAGTAGTGTCCTGTAGTCCACTCTGTGCACTGGTGTCCTGTAGTCCACTCTTTACTGAGTCCTGTGGAGTAGTGTCCTGTAGTCCACTCTGTGCACTGGTGTCCTGTGCACTAGTGTCCTGTAGTCCACTCTGTGCACTGGTGTCCTGTAGTCCACTCTTTACTGAGTCCTGTGCACTAGTGTCCTGTAGTTCACTCTGCCCTCTTGGCCTTCCTAGTGCAACCTCTGGCTCACAGGCCCACCCTGGCTGGCACAGTTTAAGAACTCATAGGTAACAATGGGACTTCCATGAGAGATGAGAGAGAGAGAGAGAGAGAGAGAGAGAGAGAGAGAGAGAGAGAGAGACAGGGAGAGAGAGAGACAGAGAGAGAGAGGGAGACAGGGAGAGAGAGAGACAGAGAGGCACACACACATACATACACACACACACACACACAGAGAGAGAGAGAGAGAGGCAGACAGGCAGGCACAGAGAGAGAGACAGGGAGAGAGAGAGAGAGAGAGAGAGAGGCACAGAGAGAGAGACAGACAGAGAAGCACACACACAGAGGGGAAGAGAGAGAGAGAGAGAGACAGAGAGAGGGACACACAGAGAGAGAGAGACAGAGACAGAGACAGAGAGAGACGGGGAGAGAGAAAGAGACAGGGAGAGAGACGGAGAGAGAGAGGCACACAGACACACACACACACACACACACACACACACAGAGGGGTGGGGGAGAGGGGTGTTCAAGATAAGAATCTGATGATTATTGCCTAGGGCAGGATGGGCTAGGACCCAGAACTTGGAAGCTGCTGGTGCCAGCACATTGGGAGGAATTGCTTTCTCATTTGTATCAGATAAGCAGGCAGACAGGGAGAAGACTGAGGGAGTCAGGGAAGATACAGGGAGCCCTCAAGCCTCCCATGCTGGAATGGAGCTCCCAGACCAATTGGGAAAAGCACCGTGAAGATGCGTCCTCTCCCCTGGATCACCCCGCCCTACCCTCTGTTATGCCCAGTAAACTTTCTGTGGCACTTCGATGGGGGCTGCAGGCCTGTGTCAAGTGAGGCTGTTGGTAGAGGCCATGAAAGCTGGTCAGGATGCCCAGAGATTATGGAATTGGGGTAACTGGGTAGGAAACCTTAGGGAGAGAGAAGTCTCAATACCAGGTTAAAATATAATGATCCCAGATTTCTAGAAGAAACCAGACTTAAGAAATTACTATTTTGAGCTCATACAAAAGTGGGTTTATTGTTGTCTTTTAAAATTACATTTATTTGCACCGGGCGGTGGTGGCACATGCCTTTAATCCCAGCACTCGGGAGGCAGAGGCAGGTGGATCTCTGTGAGTTCGAGGCTGGGCTGGACCGACAGCCTCCAAAACAATACAGAGAAACCCTGTCTTGTAAAAAACCAAAAAAAAAGTTAAAATTACATTTATTTGCTGTGCATGCACAACATGAATGTGGAGGTGAGATTTGGTTCTTTCTGATGACACGGGTCCTGGGGATCAACTCAGGTCTTCAGACTTGGCAGCACGTGTCTTTGCCCACTGAGGATCTTAGCAGCCCCTCCTGTGGGCGTCTGGTGGCATGGCCTGGCTCAGTCCGGTGCTCCTGGACACCCGGCTTAGGTCTGGGCTTCCAGTCTGGTTTCATGGGCTGGGCTCAATTCAGGGGCTCTTTGAATGTGTTCAGCAGGCTAGCCAGAAGAACTAGGCCCAGCACAGCTACGGCTACTAGTGCCACATCCCACCAGATCCCTGAATAGGCCCAGGATGGTGGCAGCTTCCAGCCACAGTTGCCCAGTTCATAGCCGGTCAGCTGGCTCAGTGGGCGCCTGGTGGCCAACTCAGGGCTGGCACAGTACACATGCTCCAGGGCCTCAGGCATGTGGTCCTCCAGCCAGAGGCGCAAGTAGGTGAGGCTGCAGTCACAGTGCCAGGGGTTGTGCGTCACGTCGAGGTTCCACAGCTGAGGCATGTGGTCGAAGGCCCCTGGTGGCACTGCACGTAGGCTATTGTTGGCCAGCAGGAGCTGGCGAGTGTGAGCTGGCAGCACAGGCAGCGCTGTGAGGCCCTGCCCCTCACAGTTCACCTTTAGCCCCATGGTTTCCAAGGCCTGGCAGGTGCAGGGCCTTGGGCAGGCCTCGGTGGCTGTGGCCACAGGCCAGAGCAGAAACAGGAGCCCCCAGGTAGTCATCCAGCAGGTAGGCTGTGGGCAGAACAATGAGATTGGGACCTGTCGGCCTGTACCGGGATTCCTATGCTGGACAAAGGTGTGAACCTACTCTCCAGGCCTCTGCAGGCTGCAGGAGCACTGTGCTCTGGGTTAGGCTGGAACTCACTGTGCAGCCCAGGAAGTGCAGTAGAGAGGGACAGGGTCTTCCTGGTGTCGGCCAGAGATCCCAGCCCCTGCTCGGATCGGGAAGCAGGTGACTGCTAAGGGACTCCAGTCTTAGACCCTGGCCGCAGAGGCTAGGAAAGGTCCTTGCAGACTGTACCCAGTCCTTTGCCTGAGCCTGGAGTCAGACCATGGAATGCATTCGACCCCTTGATCACTCTCTCATGATGCCTGATTCAAAACACCCTGTAGGGCCGTCAGGGCGGCAGCTCAGAGGGGAGCTCATAGGGATCTGTCTAAATGCCACTCTTCTAGGCTAATGGCCAGAGCTGGGAAATGAAGGCCTAAAGAGGGGAAACGCTTGCCCACGCTCACCCAGAAGTCCATGGCAGAGTGCAGACCAGAACGAAGTCTCAGGATCATCTGGTTCTGCCTCGTTTGCTGTCTCCCCTCCCCGTTTAGGAGTAGGGGCTGTTTCCCCTTCTCAAGCATTTGCTCTCCTACTGGAGTCCAACTCCCAGCAGGCTTCAGGGAGTGTTCATTGAACGACTCATGAATCTTGATTGAGCCAAGTTTCTGGTTGACACCTCAGAGCAAATGTTCTCCCACAGTCCATCTTTTAGTGGAGAGTCAAGGGAGCAACACAAGAGTCCCCTCTTTTTCTGCCAGCTCAACTGGAGTGGACACCAGGCAGGAGGTCATGCTGGAAATAAGGGGACCACTTACCTGTGAGGTCTTGGTTGGGGCACACCTTCTGTGAGCTGGTAGCATCCTGGTTGAGGATGTGGTGGTAGTGTGTGTGTGTGAGCTGTGTGAGCTATGTGAGCTGTGTGAGCTGTGTGAGCTATGTGAGCTGGCATTGGTGGCCGCTGCTTGAGTAGAGGAAGGAAATGATGAAAATAGCCTGGTTTATCCCCCACGTACAGCCCTGAGGGCCTATCTCAGAGGCAGGAGGCTCCCAGGGTCCCAGGGCCTTGGGCATAGAAATGCAGGTCAACTCCATTTTAAGGAAGGTACCTCTGTACCAAAAGCAACCTGTGGCCTTGTGTGGTGGGCCTGGAGGCCAATCGGGTGTCCTTGACCCAGTCCTAGTAGTTGGGGAGGGCGTCCTGGAAGAGAAGATGCTTAGATGAGCGAGGGTGACTGTAAGTTCTTTATAAACTTGGGCAATGGCCCTGGTGCTGCATGCCTGCATGAGGTGTGGGATGGGACCACAAGGATGCCTGTTTATAGTCCCCCATCCCTCTGAAGATGTCGAGGAGGCTCCTTTTTTGTCCTTGGTGTCTTTAGCACCTTCTCCTTCCACTTCTTTGTTTTGTTTGTTTGTTTTTTGTTTTTTTATATTTTATTTTCCAGTTTAAATTTAGATAAGAAACGAGGTTGCTTCACAAGTCAGTTCTAGGTCCCTCTCCCATTCCCTCCCCTCTTCCCGTGCCCTCCCCCCAAACCCCCCCATTATCCCTCCTTCCACTTCTAATAGAGATGCAGGTTTGCAGCACTGAACCTCTCAGAGGCAGAACCCAACTGCAGCCAAAGACCAATATTTATCTCACAGTTACTCTTTATAGCCTCTTCCATTTGAGTGTGACATCATATTCCACTCCTGTTAGTAACTGTAATGGTAATGTTTTTTTCCTCATAAGATAGATATAGTTGCAGTTTAATTAGTGCTTTTGGTTTTACAAAATATTAATCAAAATCAGGCCTAATGGCCAAATAGAAACATCACGAAACTAAAACTTCAAATGTGTGCATTTTTATAATAAATCATAAAAATTCCACAACTGTGACATTGTGACAATAAAGCAAGTCAATTGATACTTAGCAGATGACAGTTCATGTGCACAGAAGATGGGGAGGGGCTGCTGAGTCTTGGGCTGGAGTGACACTTGCTGAAACTGGGGCTCCCGGGACTGGGGAGGCAGGATCACTGCAGAAAGGAAGAGACCCCTGACCAGCCCTTAGGTCATGGCTGGTGTTGGTCAGGAGCAACAAACACAGTAAGAGGATCTTGGCCCTTGGTCTGGAGAGATTCAGATGGGTTAGAGATGGAGAGGGAAACTGAGGCTGACAACAACAGGGCCACCGGCTAAGGCACACTGGCTCTTGTTCAGCAGGACATGTGTCACACCGGCTGGGACACAGGTCAACATGTCCTGCATTGGTTCTTTGTTGTGGTTGCTTTTGTTTTTGTTTTGGACAGGGTTTTTCTGTAGCTTTGGAGTTTGTCTTGGAACTCACTCTGTAGACTAGGCTGCCCTTGAACTCACAGAGATCCCCTGCCTTTGCCTCCTCAGTACTGGGAAGAAAAGCGGGTGCCACCACCACCCAGCTGTGCCCTGGCTCTCAAGCAGTTCTAAGACAGCAGAAGTCACACTGGCCCAGAGTCAGGGCAGAAGGCTGATACTCCCCCCATTGCGTGCCTCGCTCCCCACCTCCACAGACTAGCTGCTTCCTCCCCGGTAGGCAGGCCTTTCAGTGATTACTGGGTCTCCCTTGAGGCCCTTAGGGGCCATGTGGCCTCTTCACAGCTTCTGTTACTCCTGCTTCAGTATGGGGGCTGGATGTACATGGAACTCTCACTGGCTGAGCTCTGGTTCTCCAGGGCCAGCTTCTTCAACCTTCTGCCTCTGGCTCAGAGAGAGTGGGGGAGATCTTCTCTGGCCCTGCGGTCATACCTTCCTGGAGCCTATTTTCCTATGCTTGTGAGGACTCTGGCCCTGGTTGGGGGTCTCAGTCTCTGTTAGCTTTTCCTCCCTTTATGGTAGAGCCTCCCTTTATGGTCTTCACTTCCCCATCTTTAGGGCAGTCAGTTTCTCCTCAAGGTGGAGCCAGAGTCCCTGGGTGAGTGGGGATCCCACAGCCTCCAGGCTGAGCTCCTGGCTAAGCCGGTGTGGTCCATGTCTCATCTATTCAGGTTTCTAAGATCTCCTTATTTTTGGCAGGTTACAGCAGCATCAGCAACAGCAAAACCCTATACAAACACTTTATTTTTTTCTAGTGGAAAAATTGTAATGTTCAAAAGATTAGGAAGAAGAAAATTAAAAATGTCTTCAACCCCCAGCATGAATAAGAATGCCTTTGGGGCCTGGTGTTAAGGTGTAACTCAACACACAGCGCTTGTCCAACATGTGCAAAGACCTGAGACTGGAGACCCAGAGTCACATGTATACCTACATAGAAGTGTGTTTTCTTACCCAAATAGACTCATCTGGAGGTCACTCTCTCCTGTGCCTCCTCTTCCCACTGTGACTAAACCCACATCCACAGCATCCGTCATGGAGGCTCGGCATGGCTTCGTGGGTGTGGCTTCCTTAAAGAACCCTCTTATCTCCATTGCACAGGGCCTTTGTGGTGCCGGAGGATCAGAGGTGCCCTGGCTCGTGGGGGGCAGGGCTCTCAAACTGTGGCCGAGCACTGTCAAGATTACAAATGAGTACTGTTAACCGCTGTTACAACTGTTCTCTTCAGCTTTTTATAAGACGGTGTAGCAAATAGTCTTTTAATGCTTTTTGCAAATGATAAAAATTGTTAAGAGCTGTTAGACGTGTCATTCTTTTTTATTTTCTTTTGAGACAGAGTTTCTCTGTGTAGTTCTGGCTGTCCTAGAACTTATTCTATAGACCAGGCTGGCCTCTAACTCACAAAGATCCACCTGCCTTTGGGATTAAAGGCGTGCACCACTATGCCTGGCTCAGATCCTTATTCTTTCTTTGGTTTGTCGAGACAGGATTTCTCTGTGTAACAGCCCTGGCTGTCCTGGAACTTGATTTGGAGACCAGAATTCACAGAGCTCCACCTGCCTCTGCCCTGTTTCTGCCTCCCAAGTGCTGGGATTAAAGATGTGCGCCACCACAGCCTTGAAAATTTTTTATTTATTTATATTTTATATATGAGTGCTCTGCATGTATTTCTGCACTCCAGAAGAAGGCATCAGATCCTATTATAGGATGGTTGTGAGCCACCAGGTGATTGCTGGGAATTGAACTTAGGACCTCTGGCAGAGCAGCCAGTGTTCTTAACCTCTGAGCATCTCTCCAGCCCTGCCTTACCTTAATTTATAATCCCAATGTTTTTATGCACTCTCAAACAGTTAGCCATACTCTAGGTCTTTTATTATGAAAAGAAATAACTATGCCATATGTGATGGCACTGCTCTATACTCAGTACTTGGGAGGCAGAGGCAGGAGAATTGTCTCAAACACTGAGGTCAACATGGTCTACATGGTAAGATCCAGACCAGCCAGGGCTATGTAGCAAGACTTTATCTCAGAAAAAAGAAAAAGACAAAGTAGTTATATGTGCCAGTAACAGAGTCCTTGACAATCAATGAAGACAGCTTTTAGCACCAAGTGAACAGCACACAGCAGTAAATGAAAAGAACATCTTAAATTACTTAAACTTTCAGGTTAAAAAAGGGGTGATTGACAAATCTGTTAATAACAACTGGATCTATTTGTATCTTACAAAACTATTTTGATTAAAAAAAAACCTAAAAAACCCTGCAAGGTATGAGAAGGTCTAATGTTACCTGCTGCCATTAAAATAGAGAAATAGTTCATGGGAATAAGCATGGAAAAAGTTATAAAATCTGTTGAGACAATCTTTTTTACACAGTGTGACAATGTGTCTCTGTCCTTCCTCATCTGCCTAAGGCACCTTCTGATTGGTTTAATAAAGAGCTGAATGGCCAATAGCTAGGCAGGAGAGGACAGGTGGGACCTGAGGAAGAATCTGATATGTGAGGGAGACAGCAGTGAAACACAGGTGAGCAGGATGGAGGAGAGGTAAAAAGACGCAAGGCAGAACGTAGATTAATAGGAACAGGTTAATTTAAGTTATAAGAGCTGGTTGGGAACAAGTCTAAGCTAAGGCCAAGCTTTCATAATTAACAGTAAGTCTCTGTGTCATTATTCAGGAGCAGGTGGTCCAAAGAAAGATACATTACAAATCCCCTTTATTGAACTGGACATTGTTGGTGGACACCTTTAATTTCAGCACTTGGGAGGAAGAGGCAGGCGGATCTCTGTGATTTCAAGACCAGCGTGGTCTACAAAGAGCTAGTTCCAAGACAGGTTTCAAAGTTACACAGGGAAACCCTGTCTCAAAAAAAAAATCCCCTTCATTGAATGATACTGTTTCTATGAGACTTTCTGAAACTAGTAACTACTAGTTTTTGGTTTTTACGAGACAGGGTTTCTCTGTATTGTTTTGGAGGCTGTCAGTCCAGCCCAGCCTCGAACTCACAGAGACCTGCCTGCCTCTGCCTCCCGAGTGCTGGGATTAAAGGCAGGCGCCACCACCGCCCAGCCAGTAACTACTAGTTTTAACAGCTTATCTCCAGATGTAGGGGCACATCAAAGTCTTTACTTCGGTTAGATGAAACAACTATTTTGTTGACTTATTTGTGCATTCAAAAAGACTTATTTATGCATATCTGTGTATGCACGTGTTCAACAAAGGCACACATGGGTACAAGTGCCCGTGGAGGCCAGAAGGGGCGTCAGATGCCCTGGAGGTGGAGTTACAGGTGGTTGTGGGCCTGTAACCGAGGTCCTCTCCAAGTCTGCTCTGATGTCCTCCCCTCCCCTCTCCCTCCCCCACCTTCTTCTTTCTCTGTCTCTTTTCTATCTGGGGTAGGGTCTCATTGTGTAGCCCTGGCTGACCTAGAACTCCATATAGACAGGTTGGCCTGGAGCTCACAGGGACAAATGGCTTCTGCTAAGCATGATGCTCGGCAGCAAGTGCTTTTGACTGCCAAGCCATCTCCCCAGCCCCAGTTTGTTCTATTTTTTGAGACAAGGTCTCATGTAGTTCAAGCTGGCCTTGACTTGCTACATAGCCAAGGATGACTTTGAGTTTCTGATTCTCCTGCCTCCACCCTCGAAGCTCTGGGGTGCTAGGTGTGCATCACCTTGCCAAGCTAAACAACTGGTATTTCTCACTTTATGTAAGACGCGTTTATAAAGGACCCACATAAAGAATTGTTGTCTTATTACTGTT